CCTGGGCTTCGGCGGGGACGTGTACGGCCGCGCGGCGGCGGAGCAGTACGGCCACGTCACGAGCCCGCGCTCCGACTACGCGTCCACGCAGCTGCACGGCTACGGCCCCATGAACATGAACATGGCCGCGCACCACGGCGCCGGGGCCTTCTTCCGCTACATGCGACAGCCCATCAAACAGGAGCTCATCTGCAAGTGGATCGAGCCCGAGCAGCTGGCCAGCCCCAAGAAGTCGTGCAACAAGACGTTCAGCACCATGCACGAGCTGGTCACACACCTGACCGTGGAGCACGTGGGGGGGCCCGAGCAGACCAACCACATCTGCTTCTGGGAGGAGTGCTCCCGCGAGGGCAAGCCCTTCAAGGCCAAGTACAAGCTGGTCAATCACATCCGCGTTCACACGGGCGAAAAGCCCTTCCCGTGCCCCTTCCCCGGCTGCGGCAAAGTCTTCGCGCGCTCGGAAAACCTCAAAATCCACAAAAGGACGCACACCGGTAAGGCTGCGCCAAAAACAAACAAAACAAACAAACAAAGCCGGGCTGCGAAATGAAATGGTGGTTTGCATTCCTGCTTGCGCTTTTGCGCCAAAATTGACCCACTTGTTTGCTCTTTGCGATTCAAGGTGAGAAGCCGTTCAAGTGCGAGTTCGACGGCTGCGACCGCCGCTTCGCCAACAGCAGCGATCGCAAGAAACACATGCACGTGCACACGTCCGACAAGCCCTACTTGTGCAAAATGTGCGATAAGTCCTACACGCACCCGAGTTCGCTGCGCAAACACATGAAGGTAAGGTCACTTAAACGCTCCTGTCAAGAGCTAAAAAAATGCAAAAAATTCTGCATATGATGTAAAAAAAAATCTACGGGTTCCCAAATAGACATTTTGTTGTTGTTGTTTTTCTAGGTCCACGAGTCGAGCAACCCGGGCTCGCAGCCTTCCCCCGCGGCCAGCTCGGGGTACGAGTCGTCCACTCCCCCCACCATCGTGTCCCCGTCGGCGGAGAACCCGAGCAGCGGCAGCTCCGTGTCGCCCACGGCCCCCGTGGCCGTGCAGCATCACGCCACCGCCACCACGGCGGGTGGCCACAGCGGCGCGCTCACGTCCAATTTCAATGAATGGTACGTGTAAAAAAAATATATTTCTGGGGAAAGGGCTGGGTTAAAAAAAATCGGGGTAAAGAGGTGATTTTTATTTTTTTTTGGGTGGACTGCAAAGACTTTTTTTTTGGAGCGTGGACTTAAAGAATGCATGGACCAAAAAAGTGAAAAGAAGGAGCCAACTTTCTTTTTTTTTTTTTTTTTTACCTAAGGAACTGCTCCAGTTGTTGCAAAACGGGGGAGGGGGACTAGCGGGAATTGTTTTTGTACATACCACAACCAAGATGGAAAGGAAACAAACATGTAATATTTTATTTTGTAAATATCATAAGTGGAGGAGAGGGGGGGGGTGTTCAAGAAAAAAAATGTGCTCCCTTGATATATGGACAATAGACGCCACTGAAAAAGAATGCTCTAGTCGTGTACCAAATGTGAATGATTCCCAGTATTACAAGGTGGAGCTTATAGTATTAAATGTGCTTTTTTTTTGCCATCATGTATAGCCCAGCGTGCAGCATTCTCGTCCCAAAAAGTTGGAGTGGCACACTTTTAATCCTTGTTGTTATTTAAATGTCATGTCGACGAAATCGTGTCGAATAGTGAAAAAGCCTGAACAATTCCGTGTCAACCTGTTTATTATGTATACGTGATAAATATACACAAAAAGTTACCTGTGTTGTCTGAAAGGAAGTATTATTATTATTCTGATACATGTATAACTAGCTCACTTTTCCATATTTATCCGCATGTTTTTTATTTTTTTTATTTTTTAGAAGTGCTCGGTATTTATGGAGAAATGCGCTCGTATGTCAAATTTAGTTTCGATTCAACAACAACCACTAAAAATGTTTGGATACATTTTCGTACTATATTCAACGATTAAAAAAATGCGAATGCAAAAAAAAAAAAAACAAAAAACAAAAATGCGTTGGGCTTGATTTAAGGCTGCAACTCGGACACCGACGTCAAGTTGTCAACATTTTATTCCCGCTTGTCAGTTGCGCAATAAAAAAAAACCCCACAAAAAACCTAATTGAAAATGCAGATATATTTTTAAAAACTGGTCACGTGACCCCCACTTCAGGCGGAATCGCTCAATTGGTTGAAGGCAAAGGTGGAATTCACAGCTTGTGTTTGCAACTTTAGTGACAGTCAAGAACAAGAATTGCCCTCACACACACACACACCCACACGCACACGCACACACACACGCACACACACAGACGCGGCGCGCACACACACGCACACGCAGTTCTAGCCTTCCACCCCCTTATTTCTGTTTATCCAAATTAACATCCAACACTTTTGCCCCGCAGTAATGTGCAAATTAAATCGATTAATCACGCCGGTTGTTCCTCTTGTGTATACACACAAAAAAATAAGTTGGCCTTACTTAATTGTTGGGGAATCTCATTTCGCAATCTAATTTATTTCCGTTTGTGGGATCGCCTGGATTTATCGGGGAGGAGGCAGTCAAGGGGGGGGGGGGTGCAGCAGTGCATGAAAAGCATGAAAAGTGAACCCCCTCTCCCCGACTCAAGCCCCCCCTCTGTTTTTTCTTTT